AATCGCAATTAGACTCGGTTAGTCTTTTTATCGAGCATAACATTACGCGATAACTTTCATATCAAAATCTGCGCATCTGCGCTTGGAATTTTTAAAATGACGTGACTTTAAATCAAGTTTGAACGCCAGCCGGATGTTAGGTACAGCCCACTCGGCGGAGCAGACAGCCCGCGGGTGAGAGGGAGAGGGCATTTTTTCTCTCTCCGCTCTTCCTAGTGAAGACCTCTTTCACAATTCAAACGACCTCCTCGCCCTCCGCGCGGTGTCCCCTAATCTTAGACCTATACTGACAAACGCACACAACCTCGAATCACAAAACCATACAAGCCCGAAGCACAGAAGAACACAATCCCAAACACAAAATGACAAAACAACACCAAGAGGATTGCGAGAAATTCCTGTACTTGACAAGGGCAGCCTGTGAAACCGGCATCACGTACCAACTTTTTTATTCCCTTATCAAAAGACAAGTAAAGTTGTCTGACAAAGAAAGAAAGAGAAAAATCCGAACCGTGAACCCTTTGACCCCCACCTGTAAAAAAATAATAAAAAAACCCTTCAAACTTAAAAGCTTTTTCGTTCCCTTATCAATCGATAAGGAAGGTTGTCAGATACAGTTCCCGGATCTTTCTCTGGATGTCAAACTTCAGTGCCCTCCCACTCGAGTACACAGTTGCTGCACTCGTCCACGTGCTTTGCAATTTCGTAGTTTCGTGAATTATTTTAACCGCCCTTTTATGCTCCAATATGCCGTCGTTTAAGCAACAACCGGTCTGTCCTACGTAAGAAAAACATCAGCGCAGAGGAATATTCTAAACGACCTTTTCCTGACAAGGCACAGAGAGATCTCTTTTATAATGCCTGCGTAGAGCACAGATGCTTATGTCTTACCACGCTGACATCTCCTCAACCGGTTACGATGTAATCCTTCAAATTAGTAAATTTGTTTGAAAAAACAAACAATAAAAGTTACAGGACCACGACTGTAGTCGTGTCTGTCGTCATCTCCCTGCGAAGAATCTAGCCCCATTGTTGTGACAGAACTGGAAGTAGTCTAAGTTATGAATCGGCTGACGTTACTGCATGTACTCCGTTGTGCTCTATACTTAGGGTTCCATGTTCTCGGTATATAACGATAAACACCGAAAATTAACCCCGAGGCGGTTGTTTTCTGAATCGGTGAAAACCGGAAAAACCCAAATTTGCACTGTCCAATGCCAGCTACACGGGAAAACATTTCCTACCTTACTTTTTTTTTTCTTTTTTTTTTTTTTTTCGTTAAAAGGGTAGTGCTACGGTTTTAATGTTGAAATAATTTTTAAATAATAATCCTATTTTAGAGTACGCCAGCATTGTATGGAGTCCAAACAAAAAAGTAGACATCAATAGACTAGAAAAAATTCAAAGGCAGGCTGCACGTTTCATTCTTAATAAATACAAACGAACAGACTCTGTGACTGAAATGCTTAGCCAGTGTGGACTTCAATCATTAGAAACTAGACGGAGAATAGCGCGGCTAAAGTTCTTATTTGCGTTGTATAACAATCACTTAAACATTGAACCTGAACTATATTTAAATGAAACACATAAACGATCGCGCAGATTAAATCACAATAAAACAATCCAACCGTATAATAGTAGGATAGACGTTTTTAAATATTCATTCTTTGTGCAAACAATTGAAGACTGGAACCAACTTCCAGATTATGTCATTAATTCTGCAAATATGTTCCAATTCGAGTCTTCTTTAGAAAAGATATTTACCCAGCAATAAATAAGAAGGGCGTTTTTCCTTTTTTTCTATTTCACTTCTTTTTACAAAGTGTGGCGATATGGTTCACGTTGTCTTCAATTAAAAATTGTATAACAGTCTTCTATTACGTACATATGTATAGAGTTCAAATTTTTGATATGACTATATATATTGTTGTTACCTCTCCTGTAATAGCCTTCAAGTGAAGGCTGACAGTATTCTTAAATAAATAAATAAAAATTTGCAGTTTGTATTTTTTATATTGTTTGTCTAGGCACACGTGACAAAAAACGCGTCACCTTTCCCCGAAAACCTGCTATTCTGTTGCGCAATCGCAGAGGAAAAAACTAATTATTTGCCGATCTGCAGCGGCGTATGGCGGTTACGGGAACGCTCGGAAGTCAACGAAACCTGTCCACTCTCCACTGCTACACTCGCCGTCAGCCCCTTGGCAAATCGTCGTTTGTGTCGATCGCTCAACGCGACCTTCGACTATGCTAATTTTTAAAAAGGTGACAATGGACCTTTTCCATATACCGACGGCACCAGGCGGTGGCTGCGCGAACTAAAAAATCGAGGAAGTGACCTGCGCTACCAATCAATAATGGGAGCTACGTTACCAGTTGCTTCGCTCTCTGAGCAGCGTCGCGTGCCCAATGCAACGAGGTAGGCCCATAGAGTTATTATAATGTACGCTAGAGGTTCAACTGGCGCTAGTGTCTATGCGACTTCCGGGAGGCAAATTGAAGCAGACAGCAACCAGTCTGCTTTTGCGGTGCTCCTGTGCATTCCTATGGGAAAACGCACGTGCATTTTGTCTCTTCGCCGGAAAACAACATGAATAACTTTTGTTATTTCTGTCGTAACGAATAGTATGTACCTTTATTGGTATTGTGAAAGTGTAATTGCTTTAGTTACAGCATTTTTCTTTACCGCTGAACAATGTTAAACTTTGCTATATTTCAGGCCCAAACCTCTGTTCCACGGCAGGTATGCAAAAACGAGCGACGATTCTAAGCAAGATAACGATCGAAAGGAATGCAGAGTGTGTTCGAGCTTCGCTAGCATTCCGGTGGCGCTTATATATTGCTAATATGCCCGTCCCGTCTTTATATGAAAATGACTCCGTCGTGCGCATCTTTACGATCGGTTAAAAAATATTTGAACATAAAAAAATAAAGTACGTTGGCCACGAAAGGTGTGTCTTTTTATTATTTCCTATGTCGGGCAGCTTTTATCGGGCACCTGTTCTCTGGCTTCTCCCTATTTGGAAAGATTTGGAGCGTGCGGGTGACGCTTTGAACCCAGAACAAGCATCTTCGCACACGAGTAGAAAGAATAAAGCAGTACTTATTTAATGGAAATCGGACTTTATTACGTGGCTTTCAATTTATTATGATCGTCTGCATGCACAAGGAGTTACGTATCCAGTGTTACTGCGAAGTTCTTGCCGTCTCTTGGTTTTCCAGATGTCCTTCGTTCGTTTGGCACGTATATCCCCGATGCTAAAAAGCGCCGATGCCGTGTTCGCGCTAACAGTGTCCGACAGTGCACATAAATACAAGTACGAAGCGGTTTTAGCACCGTTTTTCAGGCCACGAATTTAAAATAAAAACGCCGTAAGTGACCAATTATTTTGTCTGCCTGACTGAGAAATGTTTCAATGTGCCTAGTATGCTCGAATTATTCCTGATATTTTCTCTTATAATCGAGCGCAGAATGAAAATGCACTCGCTTTTTCCCATAGAAATGCATTACCGGAAGTCAATTTCGGACTGCATGCACACTAGCGCCAGTTGAACCTCTAGTGTACATTATAATAACTCTATGGGTAGGCCTAGCGCGACTTTAAAGAAGGAAATCCGTAGCGTCCACCCAAACGTCGTGTTTTTCTTTCCGTCCACTTTCTTTTTTTGTGTAACACAATTATATATATGCTGCAATTACGTGTTCTACTCGTCGATTTACAGCCTCATTCCGAATTTCCTCGATTTTTTCGTGCCGACTTCCACCGCTTGGCATCGGGCGCTCGCGCGTGCGCAGAACGCTTCTCGGAAAAGGTCCATTGCGGACGAAGCGGCTGGGTTCTCTGAAGAAAGGATCCAACGGAAAACCACATGATCCCCCAGAGTACGCCACTCGAAAGACGACCTGAGAGTTGAAAGGCACTGTGACCTTCGCTTTGTTTAATTTTTCTTTTTGATATTTTTCTTTTTTTTAATTTAGTACATATTGGGGACCTCAGGGCCCAAGAAGGGTGGGCGGAAGAATAAAGCGCGCTACACGAACAATAATTAAACATAAAAAAAGAAGAAACACAGAAAACTGCTGCATAGAAACACACATATACAAAATATACATATATCAATACCTACTATATCACATCCTATTCATATGGGAGTGATGTGTACAGCACGGAAGCGCTTCCACGCGGGCACACCAGCACCGCGACTGTGTTTTGATAATTCCCGCGGCCGGTTTCCTCACAGCGACGTAGTAAGAGCTGCATGCTTGCGCTTGAACGTATTCTCGTACAGCGTGGCTCGTCATGTACCGCATTAACCTAACTGAAAACAGCGATCGGAGATTAGCGATCGGAAAGAAAGAGCGATCGGAGTACTAATCTCACTGGCTGTTTTCAAGCGATCTGCGGTCACGTGACTTCGCCGTTGCGGCGTTTTGCTCGCTCCCCGTGCCAGCAAAATCATAATTGTTTCGTTATTCGCAGTGTTTGATATGTAGCGACGAGAAGAATAAGGTACTTATTGCATCGCGCGTAAGTGTGGTGCAATCCACGACGACGTGAGAAATGGCGGCGCATAAGCGATATCAGACGACAGATATACAACCCGGAGAAAACGAAAGCGAAACTGCCCGTTGACAGTCTACTGCAAAGTAACGTTGGTCCACTTCTCCCAGCATAGAGATCATACATACCAGAGCCGCTCTGATGCATACTAACTGCTCCTTGAACTGCTCCCAGAGTGCATCTGAATCGCTAGATGCGCTGCAATTTTGCATATAAGTCAAATTTGGTACCTTGGACGTTACCTAGCCAATGTGGTTAAATTTATAATTTATGGAGACGTTAGAGACATTTATTAGATTGTAGTGACCTGTTTTCTTAAAACTATTAACTATTGTAATTTGAATAGTTTTATTTACGACAATAGTTTTAGAAATCTAAAAAATATATTATTTCTAGTTACGAAACTATCACAGCGGCCGCTGTCGCCAAACGGCCAGACCAGATCGCCCGGATTGCGAAGTGAAAGAAAAATGGCAAAAAGCGTAACTAATGTTGACGCGGCCTTCCTGGCCTTCGTCTTTATTTTTTCCCCGTAATTAGATCCGCGTACTCCATAAGATGAGCCATGCCCACTCTGCCAGCTGCCACCCTCGCTTCGCCAAAACAGTGCCACGTCTCCCAACGACTGCCGGAAGCCGACGCTGAACTGGCTGAACGCCCAGCAGCGCCCAGCTGGCCTCATTTCCCCCCCAAGCGCGGAACTGACGTCCACTGCTCGGCACCCGCCGCCAGGCTCTGCCCGCCGCCGCCTTCGTCCATTCATTCCTTTCCCCCCGATCCAGCCATCGTCATGACGCCCAACCCATTGCCACGCTCCCGATAAACCCAGTATCGGGTCTCCCCTCAGATGGATAGTAGTCATGGCGTCACAGCCATTACTCTACGATAATCAGTTCACGAAACAGGAGTCCACCGCTATCACCATGATGCAAGACTGGATGTCATCGGGTCGCCTGCCGACCACATATCGGATCGGCAACTCGACGCTGCGCTGCCAGCTCAACTTCGTGGTCACGGTGGCTGTGCTGGGGGTAGCCTGCCTGCTCCTGTTGTACGCTCTGCTGCCCTGGGGCAAGTACCACATCATCAGCGACAGCGTCGACGGCCCGGGCCACGAACATGGGCACGCGCACATCCTCCAAGAGTTCCTGCCGTACAACGCGACCTACCCGCTCTCGAAACCCGTCATGTACGGCCGTAAGGTGAGGTACAAAATCGGTGTCATCGCCGATTTAGACACCGAATCCAAGTGCAAGGACGAGAAGGAGACGTGGATCAGCTACCTGAAGGTAGGCTACCTAACGGTGGACAGGACGGCGAGCGAAGTGGACATCGAGTGGGAGGACGGGATGATCACGCTCAAGAGTCAGATCGCTCACGGCGGGAGAGGCATGGAGCTGTCCGAACTGGTGGTGTTCAACGGGAAGCTGTACGCCATGGACGATCGGACAGGTATCATCTACGAGGTGCGCGGTGACAGGGTGATCCCGTGGGTGTTTCTCAACGACGGCGCCGGTGAAGCTGGCAAGGGTGAGAATTTGGACCCTTTGCTGCAGACCTCTGTAGTAAGGGAGCTCTTTCACACACCCTCATGAGCTCTCCTGAGTTGGGAGCCAGCGTTTTCGGGATGTTGCAGGCCTCCTTAGGCAAGGGCGTCTCCGATCCTTTTTACACCCCTTTGATCTCTCGTGAGTTAGAAGTAGTTGCCATCGCTATGGAGTATGGTTTGGGTGTAGGCAAGGTGCGATTGTAGGAGTGCTGCAAATGCATCTTATGCGGACCTAGCTTGTCAGACTGGCACAAAAGGGCACAAACAAGTCGCGCATGACGGTCATGATCCTGTGGTTTGCAAGTGGGTGGTACCTTGTTCTCCGTATTTGCCTAAAAGGCTAGTTACTCAGTTCTCCGTTTCGTCTTTATTGGTCAGACAAGTGCAGTGCCTGTAAGACATTACTGTGGGGCGAATAATAATGATATGATTGGGGTTAGAGGGTAAAATAAACTAATAATACTGGTGGTTTTATAGTGATTTATTGGATTGAGCAAAGGTAATATACTCTGTCCGATTGATTTTCTTTTTTTTATGATTCTGTATTTTTAAAAAGACAGCCTTACCACCATTGGTACCACTATGATACCACCAGCTGTGTAATACCTGCATGCATAGAATTCATGACTGTTAAATGTTTAATTGAAATTTCTGTGTATTTTTGTTCACTTAAGCATTTATGCTTCAGGGTAGATGCAAAATACTTGATGCCCCAGTTACAGCTCTTAGCAGTCAAGGCCGGTGCAAGATGCAATCTCTGCGGGCAGAAATTTGAGCAGACAACAAGAAACCTTGAGCAGACGACTAGAAGCCTTGAGGAGATGACGTAAAACCTTGAGTGCTGCGGGCAACCTTCGACAGACAAGACAAGACGTAATCTCAAAGAAATTATCCATATAGTTAAAAAAAGCTATCATAATGTTTTCGCTTTCATTATAGACAAAGAAATATAGCTTTAGAAATAACAATAAAAGATTGTTTCTCCTTTTCCCAGAAAACAGCTGTGGTAACAGGTATCTTTTTTTCTCTTTCTTGGCAGTATTTTGCACTGAAAATTATTTGCTTTTCGAATTTCTTTTGCACACAATGTTCATCGTGTGGCTGGTAGTTCACAACAGAGTTTTCTAATAATCAAAGTGACGTGGAAGATTAGCAATGTTTCGCTTTCACAGAGTGTATTTCTAATATTAAAAAGGTAGGGAAACGAAATTCCAGCACTCATTTTTTAGCTTTAATGTGTTGCATGTTGCAGCATAACCTCAAAAACACCAGTCTTGCATTGAAAGGCAGAAGCAAACTAATTTTAAAGCTAATTAAACGGGTGTATCTCGAAACAACCCATTCTTATTTGAACCCTTCTCGTTTGAACCCATTCGCAAAACGCCCTTCTCGTTTTAACCTTTCGCGTTTCGACCCTTTCTTATTTATACCCGTCTCATTTGAACCCATTCTCAGTTGAACCCTTCTCGTCTGAACCCATTCGCGAAACGCCCTTCGCGTTTTAACCTTTCGCGTTTCGACCCTTTCTCATTTGAACCCGTTGTCATTTGAACACCATAGTGAGGTATAGAAGGAAGGAAAAACATTTGAGGATGAAGGTTGAAGATGAAGCGAAGCGGCATCATCGCTTGCATAGCACATGAAACAATTTTCCTTATCCTGCTTGCCACCCCGAGTCTGTTGACGTAGCTACGTGGTCACATGGTGACGTGGTTTCAAAAGTGCTAGCGCAGATTCGGTACTTCATTTCTCTTCTGTCGCTGTATGTCGTTAAGATGTCGTGTGGAGCGGATGTATCATTGTGCTAGTCGTGTGTTATTGCTTGTAATGGCCAATTCGGGTGGTCATTTTCCCTGAAAAAAAAAAGTTTTCCCATATCTTCGGCAAGGGCGTTCGCGTGGTCAAAGGCTGGCAGGTGCAAGCTTTTCGGGTTGCGCTTCTCAGGCGTGTACCGGCAGTTTACCAGCAGAAGTTTTCCCGAGCTCCAAGAGGTCGGGCAGCTTGTCTGCCAGACTGTATCCGGTATCGTCACATTTGAATCGGGATAGGGAACCAAACGAAACAATGCTCGCTGAGGCGGAAAATAGCGGGTTCGAGTGGCAAATGAAGCCATTGAGACAGGCACCCTTTTGTGCTCTGAGACAAGATAGCAAAAACAACGAAGAGAAAGATAATTTATGTCTCGAAGAAGGTCAACATTTTTGGAATAATTTATCCAGCCTGAGCAAGGTATGTTTGCTCTGAGACACGGGCTGCATCATACATCACTTTGTTTTATAACTCTTTAATAACAAGTTATTACACCACTGAAAAAAAAGTATGCATATTGATGCAGTTTGAAACTTGAACACGCATTACAATTTCAATCCAAACAAAATTCAAACGAAGTTTATTGAAATTTGACGCGCGTGCGGGCAGAACCACACTGATTTATACATCTGCCCTTTCAATGATTTATATTTTAATATTCTGTCAGCTGTACGGACTGTGGTAATGCCAATATTTTGAAAAGTTTTTGTGAAGCCGCTTCTGTTTACACACATCTCAGAGTCGTAATTTATGTTGTTGGCGTATGCAGCGTGCTCATGGTACCATAGAATGATCGAAGAAGAAGTTAACAGAGCTCACTCACGACCCAGTCAAATAAAAACGCCAGTTCATTGTACTTTGCATTCGGGTGGAGAGGGTCACATGATGCGCCGCTGGCGCGTTTTTGGTCGCCGATGCCACAGACGAGGGCTCAAGGCAATTAATTACACGAATTCGCCATAAATACCGCAGAAAGATTGCGAGATTATGATGTTGGATTAATTTGGGTTCGAAATGAGAGAGGTTAAAATGAGAAAAGTCTTTCTGACAATGGTCAAAACCAGAAAGTATGTTTTGAGAAAATTTGAAATGAGAAAGGTTAAAATGAGAAAAGTCGTTTTGAGAAGGGTCAAAACCCGAAAGTTTGTTTTGAGAACGGTTTAAATGAGAAAGGGAGAAACGCAAAAGTTGTTTTGCGCTGGGTTGAAATGAGAAGGTAAAAACGAGAAGGTAGAAATGCGAACGGGTTCAGATGAGAACCACCCAATTAAAATCTTTCAATGTGCACCTGGTGGATGCATGCGAATCCTATTTGGGAGGTAATCTAGCAACGTTGGGGAACTTGCTACGTAGTCATGACGTAGCAGATTCCATCGGAGCAGCACCGCTCTTTGGAATTCCAACATTTTCCTTCTTAGCTTTCCTCCTCAACTCACAAATCGCGCATTGAACTAAACAGTCCAAGAAGACGGAAAGGAGGGACCCCATCTTTCTCGGACCCTCGATTGTGCACCGGGATACAGTCATTCTCCCCCTAGAAGATTAGCCAGTCGCTCAAAACTAGGACAAAAGTTGCTTTCCCCAACCCGTTCAGCCCTAAGCTGACAGTGTTGTGGAAGCTACGTGCTCTTTAGGCCAACCACACGCTCATCACCCCACAGGTACTTAGAATGGCTCGGTTGTAAAGTGTTGATGCTATTGACACCACCACAACGCTGACAACGCCACCAACGGCAAAGCTCATAATTACACCAGCTTTGCTACTTCACGAACGCGGGAAATCTTTTCTTTCTGTTTTCATTTGCGTCGGATATCCCATGACGTATCACGCTCTCCGTTCGCTTCTCTTCGAGCGCTTGCTTGAGTGCACCGTTTAGGACGACAAATATAGCCAATCGTTCAAACTACAAACGTGCAATTATCATTTACGGCTATTATCCGTCATGCTTGACTCATTTCCGAACGAAATTTGGATATTTCAATTTTGGTTTCCGTACCCCTTTAGAGAGGTCGCAAAATGTTTTTTGAACTTTTTTTTTGTAAGGTGCGGATTTTTAATTTTGAGGATTTACCTTATGACTACTCTGAAATATTTTTCTAATAAAAAAAAGCACCTTTTTTTTTTGTGTGTGTAGAGCTATATGTCAATTTCAGCAGGCGATAGGAATCTTCACATTTGACAGGAAAATAAAGCGATGGAAACATTTCGGGACAAGTGGCTGACGAGAGAGTGTCGCGGCATCATTTTTGAGCACTTGAGGGAGTGGTTAAAGAGGCAAGAAAAATAAAGTTCTCTTCGCAGTTCCTTTAATCTGTTTACTGGTTTATGGCATTGTTCAGCTATCTGTGGACGTGTTCATACTTCAGTTTATTTTTGGTTATTTTTTGGAAGTTGCTTGTCACAATCGATGTGCACACAATGCTTTCAGATTGTTGCGCTGCCGATCCTGCCAGGACCATTAAGGATTGAAGTAAAAAATAAAAAAACACCACATTTTCCGGACTCCGCATCTGGCGCATAGTCTGTAGGGGCGAATTTGGGGCAAAAAATAAAAGCTTTTGCTTAGCTAGTCCGCACCCGGTGCATGGTCCGCACGCCGTCCCTAATCTGAACATAAAAATTATCATATACAGCAGACCTTGACAAATGCCTGCCCTATTACCTCACAAATAAGCTTGTATCATACATAAATCAATATTAATATACTCCGTTATTCATCAAATTCTTCGCATCTTGTCACAGTGAACAATATAAAAAAAAAATCCTCGTATAGTCCACACATGTAGGTAGTCCACACCACGTGAAATTTCAACTTTTAAACATATATAGTCTGCGGACTATAGTCCGGGAAATATGGTAAGTCGAATGGGCACCGAAATGCAATAGCAGCACAGCACAACACTTTTAATGTTAACAAGCTATTGCCAGCTGTTGTTTTATTTTTCTACTAAAATAGACCCTTTTCAAAAGTATGTGCTCACCAGTAGATCCCCAAGGCCGTTTTACTTTAGGCACACACCTTGAGAATGCACTTGACACAAGTGCTGTGTCTTGCTCTTGCGCAAAATATGGCAGCCATCAGCGTTGCTTGATGGCCTTTTGAAAATGGTCTATTGAACAACGTGTCCATAAAAGCAACTACCGCAAAATACCGGGGAAGCGCCCACTCCACCTTCACTGAAAACTAGGTTAATATAGACGTGGGCACTGGTGCGGTCAAATCGGGCACCTAATGAATAGTTTGCAGAATTCCCAAGTTTTGGAAAACGTTTATATAGTCAGATACAACATAAGAAAGGCAGTGCAAGGGGGAAAAGGGTGAAACTAGGAAAGCTGAAATGGAGAGAAGCCACCTCCTTTCCAGAACGGCTTCTCTCATGCGTGTGTTTTTTTCCCCTCGCACCATCTTTTTTATGATGTATCTGACTATAGTGGCTGCTTGAATGAAGTGGGCGCTTCCACAGTATTTTCCGATAGTGTGGCAGAAAGTGTTAATTTAAAGTAAGCTTTGAAGTTTAGTTCCTATTAGCACGCTGTTTGCAGGGATCTCCCTTGAAATCTTTGAGATACGGACATTTGACAAGTTTCAGGGTGTTGAAGAGGGGGGACGAGAGCAGAGGATGGGGTGATTGCTCCAACTTTGGTGTTCTCGGCGCTCTCTCTACCGCACAACGTTGACTTTGTTTGCAGGCACCATGCAATTCTGTTGTGCAGTGCCACACAAGTCTGCCAAGCACAACAATCTGTTGGCGTCTTGTGCATTTTCAAAATGAGCATCGTCTCGTCCAATGCGGGCAAAATACAAAGGGGGGCTGGGCGTGGCAGCAACGGGCAGTCAGCCAGACCAATGGGTGGCAAAACCACTGCCGTTCACTGTGGGGAGGAACCTTGCCCGTTTCGAGCAAAGCGCAAAAGCGCGCCAACGTTGTGTTTGCGCCAACGGTGTCGTGCAGTGTGCACTGCCTCTGTCGGTGGCCCCCTCAGAGTCAGCCGGTGAGGTATTTGTTTCAATATGGTAGTTTGTGACATCTGTTGCCATTGCGTCTGCCAGGTTTCAAGAGCGAGTGGGCGACGGTGCGGGACGAGACACTCTACGTGGGCGGCCTGGGCAAGGAGTGGACAGACAACAAGGGGCGCGTCATCAACCACGACCCACAGTGGATCAAGATAGTGACCCCCGGGGGACGGGTGGAGCACCGTGACTGGCAGGACAACTACCGCAAGCTCTGCAGCTGGGCCAACTACGGACCACCTGGTAGGCCTCGCATGTGCCTATTCTGAAGATGAACTTACCTTAACTTTGAGTGCCTTAATGAACTTTGAACTTAACTTAACTTTGAGCACTTTGATGAACTTTGATAAACCTAACTTTGAGTGCCGAGCTTTTCTTCCCCATATGCCTAATCAAAGTTTCGGTCTCAGTAACACTGTAGCATACTCTGCAAAGAATATTTATTTATGAAAGACACACTGTTTGACGGGCAAAAAGTTAATAGATGTCTGCATGCCTCCAACCTGCAACAGATTTCTCATATTGTATGTTTCGAGACAGGATACTAAGCAGCGGCACCTCGACCTCGCACCCCGAGGTCACTCTTTTGAGCGGCCTGTCTCGGCACTTGCCTGTAACTGTAACTTCCCTGCTTTCACGGTAGTCGGATACCGACTTCATCAGTAATTTCTAGACCTTGGCGTTCGCCATGAAGTGCAAGGTTGAACAACATAGATTCGCCGTTCTGCAACCACGAAGGAGCATACCAAAACAAAAATTGCCCCCTCCCCCCCCCCCCCCCCCAAAAAAAAAAGATTATGTGCCAACAAAAAACGGGCACCAGAAGATAACATATTGTTCTCATTGTTTGCGCATACATGCCAATACACGTAAAAAAAAAAAGGGCAGCCCAGTTCGGGGGGCAGGGAGCAAACCGAAACCGCTTGAGTACGTACTCAGGTGTGGCACTCAAAGGGTTAAGGGTCGAGATCCCAGAGGAAAGTGTGACAGAGCACCACGGAAACAGTTACAAAACCAGCTTCCGCGGAAAATCAGTTCGAAGGAGTGGCATGTTGAAAGGGAAGCACGAAATTCTAAATGTGCCCCTATTGAACCCGCGACCCCGTGGTTGTGAGCTCGACATTCTATTGCCGCGCCTTCTACCGCCGCGCCAAGCAAGAGGGATTAAAAACTGACATACGCCAAGGGCGGGAAGTGCGTACATCGTAACTTGCGTAACCTCCTTTGGCCGCCACAAGGGAGGGATTGCAACCAGTGCAGATAGAAACCGAGAGAGCGGAGACGTGAGCGCGCGGGGAGGCCGAAGCACCGAGTTCCGGTTGCAATGATCAGTGGGCAGGTGCAAAGCTAGCTGCCTTTCTCTTTGCCAACTGTATGAAGATGGCGTTAGGCGTTCGCGTCCTAAACGACGAGGCAACTGAAAGTACTCCCTGCTGCCCTCATCCCGCTGGGACCAAAGCTTTTGTTGTTTGTGAGGATATGTTTGAACAAAGTATAACTGAACAGGCACATCCGGAAAATCTGTCAATGTTCTACATATATTCTTTTTCCTGTATTGCCCCCCTTTATGTAATGC